TTCTTTCACGTCCCCTGCTGTGCAAGTGAGGCAGTGGACTACAGGAATCGAAAGGATTAGACTGTTCTTTTCCATCACAGCTGGTACATATTCAAAATGCAAACCCGCCTGGGTATTTCCAAGGAGAATATTCTTTTCATGATGAAGCTGGAGTAATCTATTCTTTAGTAGAAATGACCTCTGTTTTCATGGCCTGATGACTGAGCAGTTTTATATGATTTGATGTATTCTTTGGGATCAGAAAAATCTGTCATAGATCTTTTCTAAAGATTAGGGCGATAAGCAACCTAAGGTTCTCTGATCTTGAAAGGAAACTATAAATAATGACTACAAGGTCACCAAAAAAAAAAAAAAAAAAAAAAAAAAAAAAAAAATTTGTACAAGCACCAAAAAGTCAGACTTATGCTTCATCTAACTGATACTCACTTGATGTTTTCCAAAATTCAAGGAAATAAATTTTTTTAAAATGACTCTTCTTTTTAAAAAGAAATCTAAAAGAGGCTTAAGTCTAACTTTAACCAAACTAACAGTGCTATCAGCTACTTCCAGGAAATAAAAGTAAGACAGAAAATAACTCTGTACATTTTATTTTAAATTATACGATATTAGAGAATAAGCATTTTTTTTGCTTATGTCATTTATATGTTTAATAACAGTAACTGCCATTTATTGAGTATCTACTAAGTGCCTAGCATTCTATTCAGTGCTTTACATACAACATGGTAGAATGATTAAGACAGCATGCTCTGGAGTTAGACTGCCTGAGTGTAAATACTGATTATTTACTATCTGTGATCTTGATAACATTACTGAACTTTTCTGTGCCTGTTTATTCATTTGAAAAGGGGGAGTAAATAATAGTATCAACATCAGAGGATTGTTTGAGGATGAAATGTGTAGTATACCATGAGCACTCAACATATATTAGCAATTATTATTATCCCACTTAAGGCAGGTACGTAATTTAATGATGCCCCATTTTTTCTCCTGATTTTGTAGGTGGGAATAAGAGACACAAAGGGTTGGGTTACTTTACCAAGGTTAACTCAGCTCTGTTAAACTCTTAAGATCTACACTTTTAACAACTATAGTCTACTACAAATACACTGGGGATCACAAATCCTTTTTTGGACATGGGCAAAATATAAACAAATAACTTATACATGTCTGAAATTAGCCTATAAAGAGCCATTGTGTTGCCATTACAATTGCCAAATTCACTTCTGATGGGCTCATAGGGGATAAGATTCTATTCTATGAGCATCTCCAGCTCACATCCTCAATCAATCATAGGAAGAGCTTAAAATTAACACATCTAAATGCATTTGGAAATCTAGCAATTAAACAACAAAAACACTCAGAGTATCTATAAGTACCAATGTCTGTAGTTAATTCCCCCTTCCCTCCTTTTTCTTGGTAGGGGCAACCACTACATATGTCTACGAGAGAGATGTTTAGCACTGTAAAATCACGCATGCTCTACAGTTGGGTTTTACAATTAAAAAGTAGGTTTACGAGGGCAAAACTAAATCTATGTGGATTGGGCTATTTAATTTAGAGCCAGGATTATGTCTTTGACTACTTGGTACAATGCTGGGTATGCTGTCAGAGCACAGAACATAATAAATAATAACCACAATAAATGTGCTTGGGAACTGGTATAGAAGTTGCCTAGATTGATGGCTCTCATTTGCTATCCTGTATTACTCAACTCCAATGGAAATTACAATTTGCTTGTAAAGATACCTTATTTATGTAACTTCAATTTGAAAATTTTTTCTTTCCCTTTTAGTTATATGTGTTTATCAAGTTTGCTTTTCTTTTTTAAACATAATATTCCTTTGAGGAGGAGTTAAAAGATTTAGCTTTGCCTGGCAGCATGCCAAGTAGAAAAACCACTATCATCAATTTTCTTTCCAATAAAAGATGATGCTCAGAGTGGTAGACTTAAATTCCCAGTCTAACCTCACAGTGTTGATGAGATTTTCAAATGCTACTAAATGGAACAGGGTCTACACTAGAAGGAATGAATTTTTATTGGTGACAAGAGTGAAAATTAAACCATTATATACAGTGATAACCGAACACGGAAGAAGAAGTTTAAAATCAAAACAAAAGGATTATTTAAGGGCATGTCTCCATAAAATGAAGGACTGTGGCCCTTTTCAGACTATGCCAAGGGAAAAAGAAACAGTCTATATACTTCTCCACTCCTGAATGCATGCCTTTGAGGAGTTTGAGAACCATTGGAAAAGGATTATGAAGCAACACAGGGGCCCCTGGGTGGCTCAGTCGGTTGAAGGGCTGACTCTTGGTTCAGGTCATGACCTCATGACCTCATGGTTTGAGCCCTCCAATCGGCTCCAGCTCACAGATCACAGCCTGCTTCAGATCCTCTGTCTCCCTCTCACTGCCCCTCCTCACCCCTCTCTCTCTCAAAAATAAATACATGTTTAAAAAAAAAAAAGCAACTCAAATAGTTGCTTCATTTAATCTTTCTTAAACGTTTTAAAATGGTTGACACACACTTTAAGAATCTTCTGAAAATAATGAAACTTATGCCTATAGGAAGACATGCGCACAAAATTTTCATACACTTTCAGGAGGATTAAGGGACCCCTTGAAACCCATCTGTGGATCTAGGGATCCAGATTAAGAACCATATGAGTCTCAGGAGCACACTTTATGTTTTATAGGGTGTAGATAGGAACACTGGCCAAGCTAAACTGTCAGTCCAACTGCAATAAAACTGTTAACCGATACTTACTACTGTATACAGTTTTTATAAATTTCTAAGTGCTTTTTTTGTAGAAGTTATTTGATATATTAGCCCAGTAGACACTTAGATGCCAGGTTAGATAGATTAGGTAAGAAGGGGTAATACTGAATATGCATTCTGTGCTGTGTTGCTTACCAAATGTCTGGATAGTCTATCAGAATTAGATTTTGTATAAATAAAAATGTTCCTTCATGCAACATAAATATCCTTGGCTGGTGTACATTGAAGCACTATTCTTCTAATCCCTTAGAATAGATATTTATTAATTCTTTGCAATGAGAAACAAAGTACTCAGGTTTCAAAGGTGTTAAGATAGACACCTAGATCAACAGTTCTCAAAGTTTTATCTGAGAATCCCGGGGAGGTACATGAGATCCTCCCTTTGTCAATTGTGTATCTGTGTGAGTCTGAATTCTCTTCATATACTTCAACCAAAACAACATATTGCAACAGATTGAATGCAGAAGCAGATATGAGAATCCAGCTGTCTTCTATTAAGCCAGACATCAAGGAGATTTACAAAGATGGAAACAATGCCACACTTCTCACCAACTTTTGTTTTGTAAAACAAAGTTAACTTGTAATTTTTATTTTCAGTGAATTTACAAATATTTTAAACTTTTGTTTTAATTTCTAAACGGTAAATATCCCTAGATATGACCTACATAAACAAACACTCTTTGGAGTCCTCGCCAAATTTTAAGTGTTTTCAAATGGACCCTGAGACAAGTTTGAGAACTTGATACATCCCAGAAGACAGGTCTGTGTGGAGGACCAAGTATAGTTGGTGGGAAGGGTGTCAATGCATGTGTCACGGGACTGATGGACACTGTGTGCCCTGTCTTGGGGATACTGTTCCTTGAATGGGAATGGTACTAAAAGTGGAGAGGGGAAGATGCAGTCTAGGCTCTCTTCGTTTTGTGTCCTGTCCTACGCACAGCTATCATGGCAGCGCAATTTCTAGAAAAAGGTCTAAAGAAACAATGAAATAGAATCCAGAATCCTAAAACTAGGACAGACAACTGCTGGCTGTTTAATGAAAAACAAAGAAGCTGCTGCTTCTTCTCCAATGAGAACGGAAAACACTTTTTGGATTTCCATTGTTTTTTGTTTTTTCTTTTTGTCAGCTTATACAAAATTTATTAATTGTTGGATTTTCTATTGTTTTCTAATAAGTTTTTTTTTTTTTTGAAATA